AGACACTTATCTGCTAACTTCAATATGAATCGATGAAGAGCTGCTACCTTTCCCGTCAACCTCTGTATATCTTTCACTGACTTCGGCGGTTCCATCTCCGCAATTGCTCTGATCTTTTCTAGATTGACCTCAATCCCTCTTTTGGACACCATGAAACCTAGAAACTTTCCAGACTCCATGCTGAAGATGCATTTGGCTGGGTTTAACCGCATTCTGTTCTTTCTGAGGTTGTTGAAAGTTTTGCCAAGATCAGCTAGGTGGTCTTCTACTTTCAAGCTCTTTACCACAATGTCATCGACATAAACTTCCAAATTCCTGCCGATCTGAGTTCGGAAGACAATGGTCACCATCTTCTGATAAGTAGCACCTGCGTTCTTTAAGCCAAATGGCATCATTATGTAGCAATAGATTTCATCACCAGTATAGAACGAGGTTTTCTCTTCATCTTCTAGAGCCATCGGCACTTGGTGATACCCAGAATATGCATCCAAGAGACTTAACCTCTCATTACCTAAAGATGCTTCAACCAATTTGTCAGTGCTCGGCATCGGATAGAAATCCTTGGGGCAGGCTTGGTTAAGATTTGTGTAATCGATGCACATCCACCATTTACCATTTGCCTTCTTCACCAAGACTGGGTTAGCCACCCATTCACAATAATCAACTTTTCTGACGAAACCAACTTGTAGAAGTTTCTTTACCTCTTCTTTTATAGCCTGAAGCCTCTCCCCCCCGAAGAGACGTTGCTTCTGGGCCACTGGTTTCTTCAATGAATTGGTACTAAGCTTATGTTGAGACACCGAATTTGGAATTCCTAGCATGTCTGCCGAAATCCATGCAAAGACATCATTGTTAGCTCGGAGAAAAGCTATTAGCTCTGCTCTTTCCTCCGGGTTCAATCTAGTTCCAATTTGCGTCTTTCTGCTCGGATCTCTATCATCAATGGGCACTTCTTCAACATCTTCGACTGAAGCAGCTCTGGTTTCATCTTCTGGCCGGTTATCTACTATTTCAACACCCATAACTTGCTGACTATTAGGAATCCGTTTGGGATTAGCCTTGGGTGTTTGATCTTTGCCCTTATGAGGTTGTGTGACCGAGGTGATATAACAATGTTTGGCCACCTCCTGGTTGCCTCGCAACATTGCTATTCCCATAGGAGTTGGGAACTTCATGCATAAGTGAGACTAGGAAACCACAGCTCGGATTTCAGTCAGTGTGGGTCGGCCAATGACAACTGATGTCTCGCCTCAAAATTAATACCCTTTGGCTAAGTGGTTGTTGTAGCGTAGTTTTAGGTGTCGAATCCACAAGGAAGCTATATTAAATCAACAAAAAGAGTTGTCACAATAAGAAATTAAATTAAAAGATGAATTCTAAAATTAAGAATAAAAATATTTAAATAAAAGATGATAATTGTAAAAGATTAAAAACAATATTATGATGAACAAGACTTCAGGGTTCACTTAATTGATTTGTTTAACTGTTATAAATTTTGATTCCTATTTATTATTCAATTGCATGTTTCACATCCCAAACAAACAATCGGAAGATTCAACTTTGAAAACCAATAATAATGTATTTATTCTGAGAAAAATTAATTTCAATGAAGAACAAACTGATCTATCCTTACGAGCTATCCGAGAGTGACAATATATCTAATCGACAATACTGCAGTAAAGGATCAACCCGCAAAACAAATCTACCAATCAATTATATTCTAACAAATCACACATAAAAGAGCATGACTAATCTTATATGAAATTTGATAAATATAATTTTCAGGGTTTTCAGATATGAAAATAATTAACAATCTCTCAAAAATAAAATTAAACAATAAAATCTTTGAAGGAATCAAAATAAAATAACAAGTCAAACTCTTCAATCAAAATCCTCCCTAGTCTCGTTGAAAGTTTAGTTGCCCTTTAACATAATTTTCTAGCCTTGAAGAAGAAAATAGAAGTCTGGTAGCAGCCTCTCCAGCCCTGGAACCTCCTCTAAAATAACTTGGATGGGTATTTATAGAATCCTAGAAACCCTAATTAGAATGGATGTGGGGCTGGGCTGAATTACCGCGCAAGGGGTCGACACTCTTTACAAGGTGCCGGCACTTTGCGTGGAGCGTCAGCTGTGTCGGGTTTTTGGCCTTTTGTGCAATTTTGCTTAATGGCAGAATAACAGTCTTGGTCCCTAACTCCTGGATTCCGTGCAAGTTGATCATCATATTTCTGAGTTTTGCAATTTGCTCCTTGATCAAGAATGGAGAAAATCTCACTTGAGCCTTTAAACTTCTGATTTATCCTTAGATCCTCATCTTTTCAGCTCTTTGCATTTAAGTCCTTTTTCTTCTAATTATCTCCATTTAGTCATCAAACCTTTAATCACCAAAATTTTGCACAACATGAATAGAGTGAACAATTATGAAATTATTTGTAGAAAAATATAACTCTTAAACTCATAATTCCACAAATTTCCATGGTTAAGCACACTTTAGATATACATTTTCATGCTTTCATCACATGACAACGTTGAAGGAGGACGCCATCTTGACTACTCGAAACCTAACTGAAGGGGTCACATAATTTCGGCCACTTCCAAATGCAACATTCATGGTTAGGACTCCTTCAACTGGAACTGGGTGGTTGTTGAATCCATAGATGGGACCATCATACCGCTGCAACAAAGCTGGATCTAACCCAAGACTCTCAAAACAATGGAAGTACATGATGTCTGGTGCACTCCTTGTATCAACAAGGACATGCTGCACCTCACAATTGTTAATCATGACAGAAGTGACTAGAGGGTCATTGTGAGGTGTGACGACTATATCGAGATCAGCAGATGTGAAAGTAATGGGTTGATTCTTCCACTCAACATCGTCAAACTTCCATTTCTGAGCTCGGTTTTGATGCTTAACCTCTCTGACATATAACTTTCGCTGTTTAGAGCTCAGTCCACCTGCTTCCAGGCCTCCTGTGATCATGTGTATGATTCTAGCTGGTGGTGGGAGCGGAGGTGGGGTTTGTTAATATCCCACACCTTACCAGTTTGGTGGGTTACGGACTCCTTGAGGCTGTGGCCTTTGTTCTCTGACAAACCTTGGCTGTTCAGCTCTCTGAATGTACTTATTCAACAGTCCCTTATGGGCAAGACTTTCCAGCTTGGATTTCAAGCTGTTGCATTGCTCTGTTGTATGACCGTGATCTTGATGAAAATCACAATATCTAGTATGATCTCGGTTAGCAACAGCAGTTCTCATTGGGCCAGGACGCTTTAAATCCATCTTATTCTTGATCTGTATGAAAATTGGTGACCACGGCAAATTAAAAGGAGTCCAATTAACTGAAGGTTTACCTTCAAACTGTTGTGGTGGTGTGGAGTTCGGCCTTTCGAATCTCGGTGCTGAGGTCGACATCGGACCTCGGTTCTGTGCTATCTTCATCCGTTTCTTGCTTGGATTCTCATCTCTCCAATCTGGGTTTTGGTTCTTAGAGGGGGCTGGTTTCTACGACAAGGCATATTCTTCAGCAGTTATGAATTTCAATGATCTATCATTTACCTCGCTGAAGGTGGTGGCAGGATGTTTGAGCAGACTATCTATGAATCTCTCATGGCTAAGACCTGAGATCACAGCTGTAATTCCACAGCCTGGTCGAAAGAGCTAATCTCCAGTACTGCATCATTGAATCTGCTCATAAAATTCTTCAAAGACTCTCCGTCCCTTTGTCTAACTCGCATCAGCTCAGAAGTGGTTTTCCTGATCAACCTTCTACTGGAAAACTTTGTGGGAAAAGCAGATGTCATTTCTGTATAAGAGCTGATTAACCTCGGAGGTAGACTGTAGTACCAGGTTCGAGCATTACCTCAGAGAGTAGAGGGAAAGATTTTGCACATCAATGCATCAGAGGCATTCTGGGTTTGCATGCAAGAGTAGAAAGCATGCAGGTGATCATCAGGATCCTTCGTCCCATCATAAGTCTCAAGTTGAGTTATTCTAAAGCCAGCAGGGTAGGGTTCTAATGTGATGGTGGTGTTCAGAGGGTGAGGTATGGAGTCTGCAGCATGACGTGGAGGTGGGGCACCCCTCTGCTCAACTACTAGCTTTTCTAGGCTGTCTAGACATCGAGTAACATCATCAGGGAGGGGTTGCTGAGCTGGTGCAATGTGAGATTGGCCTTGAGATTCACTAAGAGCAGGAACATGCTGAATTGGTTTAGGGTTTTGTTGTGGGGCTGGGGGTTATGGAGCAGGATTAAGTAGGTTGATGAGTGGATCACCAGGATTGTTCCGGGCTAATAGTTGAGCCAACACTAGTTGAAAGACACCAAACTGTTGTTGCATGGCAGCGAGCTGAGCTGCAACTACGTCTTGGTTGGCCGTGGAAGTTGAGTTGTGGGCTGAGTTGTGTGGTTGGTTTTCATCCCCTCTTTTGGCATGATTAACAGGAGGGAATGTATTTGGGATAAGAGGTGGGGGGTGAGGTGGGAGGTTGCTAGGGACTTAACCTCGTCCAAGAGGCTGAGATGAGTTTCTAGCTCGGATTGATCGAGTATTAACCATGATAAGAGCAACAAGGGAGCTTTCAGTTCGGATTCCCACAAACGGCGCCAAATGTAATTGCACCAAACCAGAAGTCCTTCTTCAGTCCGTATCTGCACTCCGGATTGACCTGCAAAGCCCCGAGGTGGGTCCTTAGGGTAGACACTCCGATGCTTAAGTCAGCAATAATCGGGGCTACCTTGAGAGCGGAGATAAAAGGAGCTTAGGGTTGGTTCCAATTACCTTTTTAATGTGGCCCTTGGGGGGTATTTATAGGATCCAATGAGGAACCCACGTGGCATGCCAAGCAAGATAATCGGAGCCTGACGTGTCTATCCAGACTATTATTCCGGGACCGAGAATTTGAGAGATATTCAGATGCAAGGATGTCCATCATAACTACTGTACAGCTCATCATAAGGAATCAGGTGCGGGCATGCTTATTGTCACTGTCATGTAGCTATTTGAGCGGGAAGCTTTGGATTTATCCTTCACTTCAGTCATAAAAGAATAACTGTCGTACGTCCGAAGTTGGGCACCTCGGACCTACCCTTACAGGTAGGAGATTTCCCCTTTGTCCATGTGACACTTACATGGCAAGTTTTGTGGCATCAAGTAAGCACTAAAATAATTTTCCACTAATCAATTTGTAAGTTAGACGATCATGATATGATTTTTGAAGTCAATAGACCATACTGAAAGGAAAATAAACTTTCTTGACTAAAAATTGATAGTTAATAGATGGATTATTAAATTTAGTCCATAATTAATAAGCCTCTAAATAATTCTTAAAATTTTATTGGCAAATAAGCTCTAAAGTTATAATTTACAGCAACTTTCACGTGGCCATTTCTCTTTATCTATTTATGCTGATGTGAGCATTAAAATGATGAAAACTTTGGGTATAGATAAACTTCAGCTTAATTTAATAAATAATCTAGTATTTTTTTTGTATTTTTTTCTATTTCATCTACCATTGTTAAATACTTTTATATTTATCTATTATCTTTCACTTTTATTTTAGTTTAGTCTAATCTATTAATTTTTTATTAACAGTTTCACTTCATTTAGTCAAATTGACCTTCAATTATATCTTTTATGAATTTTTACTCTTAAAATTGAATTTGAGATAAAACTAATTTTGTGAGGACGGTAAGTTCCTTTTCACTATTTGAGAAACTGTAATTTTTATCATATATTGCTTCAAATTTGTTTTTTGATAATTTTCTTTTGTAGTATAAACCATAATTATTGACATATTTTAATAGTTAATACAGTTTGTTATAGACTATTTTGTTGACTGGATTACTCTATTTTGATTTTGATTTAATTTTTTGTTATTTTTTTGTTAAAATTAATAGAGTTTATACAATAGATTATTTTGAAATATTTTACAAACTTTATAGACTATTTACAAAAAAAAATAATTTTTTAGACTAAATTAAAATTAAACTAATAATTAATAGATCAATTATTGAATTAACCCGATAAACTTCAAAGGCATTAACATATGGCAAACGTGCCAGAGAGCAAATGTGTGGCTAACATGAAGATAACGGACCAGATATTAATGAACATGACTGGCATGCGATCCTCTTCGTCCACTTTAGCCACATTTGCTACAGATTCACTTATTTGCCACCAAAATTTCTTTGGGACTTAGGAGCTTACCATCTAGTAAAAATTATTTGGAAACGCTAATTTCCCTTTTTTTTTCTTTTTATTACCGTGGCATGGGTTCAGTCAAACTCAAACTATCCATGTCAAATCTGGAAATTTGCGTCGAATCATGAAATTTGAGAGGAATTACTTGCTCATGAGAATCATTTGTACACATAATGAAAGTAGAGTGCAATCATTTGCAATCATACACAGGTAGTTTATATCGGTCACGTTTCATCAGTTTTGGGTACAATAATAAGAAGTGTTTCTGTTCAGAGAAGAGGGCAGGGTACGGCTAGCAATGTCAGCATAGCTGCTTCAAAGAATTGCCAGGACTTGTTAAACTTGGAAGAAGATGGCCATGGGCGATCCTGAGTGAGATAAGGACCTTTTATGTTGTACTTATTACTACAAATGATGATATTTTCTTGACTGGTGAGAGGGTGATCCATTGTGGGGACAAATTTTCTAGCTACAAATATATTTTGAAAGATAATGCCAAGTTTGAATTGTAGTGGACACCCGGCTTCGTAATATTTGCCGTTCTTCAAGTTCTTAATTCAAACTCACACGCTTTCTCCATTATGTGGACAGAATCGAGAATGCGTGAACCACAGAACAAAGCAAACAACACATTCATTACATTGTGACGAGAGTACAAACGAATCACAATCCAGACATAAACAAAAAAAAAAAAAAAAAAA